CACTCTCATTCTATTATATAGAAAAGACATTCCTTTTGAAAATAAATTTCAAGGAGATGAAAAAATCAGAAATTCCCATGCAGTGGGTTCAAGGTTACTGTGTTTATCTTAATATGAGGTGGTTGGACAGCATTCTGTCCTTCATTGTGTTCTCAACTCTCCGGCAGTCCATGGCCACCTCAGCTTCCTACACTTCAATTAAAGTCCAGGAAAGACATCATGAGATAATTTCACTCATTGGGCTTTTTCAGACCAGGAAGTGCAGCAGCCTGGGAGGCTACAGAGCAATGGAGAAATATGAGGCCAAACGAAATGCTGGGCAAACTCAAATAAAGTCCAAATACATTATAAAATACCTTGAGAATGGGGGAGAAAAAATGAAGCCTCTTTCACGGGAGAAGAAAGTTTTCAGATGTTGGGACAGCACTAGCCCTACCTTTTTGCTGGAATGGGACACAGTCCCACTCAGACATGTTATATATAGGGCTTTTCAGAGTAATGGGATTGTAGGCGTCTCCCTTACAAACAAGAGCTATCCAGCATCTAACACTTGCAAGAGCTTGGAGAAGGAGCAGAATCCTGAAGAATGACAACTACAGCTGAGTCAAAATGTCTCAGGAAGCATTTTTCTCAGAGGAATTCTGAGATTTTCTTATCCCTCAGGAGATATTCAGGGTAGAGAATTTCAAGAGGCAATTTGTGGACAACTCTACCTGTAACATCAAGTTCTAGCCAGCAGGAAAGATTTGTTAAAGGCAACCCTGGGAATTCACAGCTAAGTGAGAATTTCAACACCCTAAAATTAGGGATGTGTGTGACAATTTCATTTTTCCTCAGAAAACATGGAAGAATGCCCCTTTCAAAGCTCTCAAAGTTAGCATGAGTTTGTGTTGGCTGAAATTGTGGTTCAATACGCGCTTACATTTACTGGGAAATGAAAACATTCCCCTTTGTCGTTGGAGCTCTGCCAGAGAGACAGGCAACACCAGCAAAAGTCATTGAAAAAAATTCTCTTTACTGTAGGTGTGCAGCACCAATACAAAGTGAGCCCTTCCAGTGGTGATCAGCTTATTTTCATTTATCCAACATACCCCATATTCAAGTTTAATTTGGCAATGACAGAAATATCATAACGAGGTACATTTCTAAATAAAGGCAGGATATATCCATTTGTAGTAAATATTTGTTACTTTTTGCACAGGGTTATCTTATTCTACACTTCATTCCTTGGTGTCAAAACATCTGCCTCCAGGCTCATCTTTACACATTTTGACCATCTTATATCTCTCTGATAGAATACTAAGTAACTGACCCTTGTTAAAGTCAGGAAAAAAATGCTTTAGTTCCTCCTTCTAGTGCTGGAAAATCCTTAGGGAATTCTTGGGCCACATGATTAATAATGGTTTATGATCATTACATAACAGTTTGTGTGGTTTGTTTTGTTTAAAAGGTTTTCTTAACAGAGAAGTTAAACAGCAACAGCTTCTAATGCCATTTTATTTTACTCTGGTTCATAATTATACCACACATACAAATAACCCAATTGTCCAGGAGATCATTTGTCTTGCTCCCAATTCCCAGGCTGTTTTGCATAAATTGCTTCCATAAACCAGCTTAGAGGAAACTTGGAGGAAACTTGCACAAATCTGTTTGATTACCTCATTTTTACAGAGTAAACAAGCAGATGCAAATAGTAAGGAAGGGGGGTAAGGCCTGAGATGAGCGGCAAGGCAGTAGAGAACCCTGGCGATCCTGATTGCATCATGTTTGCCCAGCGCTACACGCAGTGGGATATACATCACACAGTATTATTCTAAGGAAAATATCATATGATTGAGCAGTAATAGCAGGATCAGTTACTTCAAGAAAATAAAGACAAGTTAAGGGTCTACCGAAAACCCCTTCTGCTCTTCAGAGATAACCCTTATGGAAATCTAGCAATGATGGTGCACACAAGTCAACTGTTCCTCTTGTTTCTGTAGGGGATTATGAAGTGCATCCTACGCGTCTCTCTTTCAGGGCTGGCTTTTGTGCCGAATGCTTCCCCTTTTCATCTGAGAGGCAGCTCCATTTCTGCTGGAGATAAAAAGGCTCCCTGGAGTGCCAAGTTTGTTCAGCCATCCCCCAGGCCTGTGGAGCGCTTTAGGGTACCTTGGGATGAATGGCACATGCTAAATGCAAGATCATTATCATTCAGAAAGCCACGCAATATGTCACAGGAACAATTGCCTATTTGTGGGATTTATTTCATGAGTTTTGTAGCCTTTGGAAAAAAATTCCATACACACTAGCAGTGCCTGGCAAGAAACAGCTGCTAGGAACTTGACACTATAGGCGAAGGTCACAGAGGACACTGTGCATTTATTTCCCAGTAGTTTACAAAATTTACAGGGCTGATTGTGCCTTTCTTCTGGCATTTCTATACAATGAAAAGCTAAGGGGTTCTCTCCCCACTGGCTTAGAATCAATTACTAGTACACAGGACTCAGTTATGCACACAGATGCATCAGAGGGTACAGAATCCTTAGAATAAGCACTATTTCAGACTGCAGATACCAGTATGCCTGATTAATACTGCTTCTCCCAGAGCACCATGATAATAACTCCACATTCTCGAGTCCCCCTTCAGACACGCTTGCCCTCCATAATTGAGGAGATCTGGAGATAGGGGTGTGGAGATAGTCAAAGATAAATGGTGCAATCCCAGGAACTCTATCATGGCTAGATCAGTCCTGAAGCTCACCTGCAGCTGGAGTCTCTGAACTTGGCATGGAAGCATTCTTAATTTGAAGCATGACTTACATTGCAGACAGTGTCAGATATGACTGACAACATTTCAGTGTTGCTTGGGAACTCATCCATCTTGCCTGAGCTGAAACGTCACCCTGCTGCCAAGTCCCGTTTGCCACTGCCAAAGGGCCGCCGCAGCCTCTGCCACCAATTAGCAAGTCTGCCAGTGTTATACAATGCCGTTTTTGCACTTACCCGAAGGAAATGGGCACAAATCTTTTAATTAACTCATCGACCCTATTTGAACTGTTCAAAGCTGTTGTGTGCAATTCGTGTTTTTTAACATTTTTGGTAGCTCAAGCAAAGGGAAGAATCCTATTTAAAGCACTTGCAACATGGCTGCACCAAAATAAGGATCGATTCAGAGCAAGAGGACTTCCCGCCATGCGCATTGACTCCAGTGACTCTTGCAGATTCAGTGAGAAGATATCAAGTGAACTGCTTCTCTTTATGAGACTGAAAGTACAACAAACTCTTGCATGCAATGCTTTAATTTAACAGCCAAACAAATCTTTATTAAGCTTCTCACTGTTCCTGATTTTGAATTATTGCCTTGATGCACCCAGTTAATTTACATACTCTAAAATTTTACATTGAGGGAGTATATGAGAGACTTTGTAAAGTTGTAACTAAAATTTTCTAAACTAAAGAGTATGATGATGATGATGATGATGATGATGATGATTAGCAACAGCAGCAGCAGCAGCAGCAATAGTAAAACATGCCCTGTGTGTGAAAACAGAGCTGGTTCAAATGAGCACTGAACTCCTATTGTGCACTGCATCATTTCAGGTCTGACGCAGAGACAGCCTATCAAGCAAAGAACAAGAGAGAGGGCAGTGTGTGCAAGAAAGGTGGTTCAGAGACTGCAAGGGCTTCCTGGTGGCAGGTACCTGAGCATCCTGCAACATTTTCCTCAGCCACCAAATGCTAGGAATGGAAGGCAGTCTCAGCACACTGTCTCAAGGGCAGCTGTTGAGAGGCTTAGTGCAATTTACATGGGGAACGGGCACCGCTGGGGTACAGACGGAATGGGCTCAATGCCATTGGTGACCCCATCTGCTAAGAATCAGGGTTTCGCTTCACTAGCACCATCTTGGAAGCCCAAGTGGCATTTGTGGCACTCCCGCTCATCCACCCATGTCCCCTCCTCCCCACAGAGATAGTCTGGGCACCATGTACAAGCCCCAGGAACCTCCAGATTAGAAGACTGCAATGTGTAACCTCTGGATCTTGGAAGACTTAAGTACTTCAAAGGCTGTCAGAAAGTTTTCCACATGCTCAAAAGACTGATTATTATAAATTATTATTTATACTAATCATTATGTGTTATTTATTAAATCATTATTTAGAATAATCATTATTTATTGTTTATTAAATTATTATTCATTATTCATTATTTCATTTCTATATCCACAGCTGAAGTTCTCTGGGCAGTTTACACTATCTATAAAAACTAATGGTAAAATGCCACAAAAATAGCAGAAAAATCAGAAACAAAATTAAAAGTTTTAAACAGCTAAAAAGCAGATGATAAAAACACATGATCCAAACAGAGTGACTCTGAAAAACTCTTCTGGTGATCCCTCTCAAGCCCCTGGGTGGCCAGGTAAGTTCTTAAAAGCCTCAGAAAAGAGAGCTGTCTTGACCTGGCACCGAAAAAGTGACAGCTTTGGTATCGTGGAGAGGTCATTCTATAGATGGGGGGTGGGGGCACCACTGAGAAAACCCTCACCCTTGTTGCCCCCCTCCACACTTCCCGTGCAGTTGGCACTTGGAGTAAAACTCCAGAAGTTGAGTGCAGTGTCCAAGCAGATCATGGCTGGGAGAGGTGCTCGGACAGGTACTGAGTCCCCAAGCCATGCAGGGCTTTATAGGCTAAAACCAGCACCTTGAACTGGGACTGGAAGCGTACAGGCAACCAATGCAAGTGGGTCAGAACCAGACCCACTTATATGTTTGGAGCTACTGATTCTAGTTAGTCATCTGGCTGCCGCATTCTGCACCAGCTGCAGCTTCTGACAGATGCTCTGTTGTAGCCAGTTAAATTTCAATAAAAGAACTGCACTTCTACAGTTTCAATCTGGGACTACTGAAAGGGAAGGAAAGAGGGGAGTCACTTGTTCATGACACTGTCTGAGATTTTGAGATTCTACTGTGCAAATCAAAGATGGAAAGAACCTAAAACCGTAGTTGTAAGTCTGTCTTACCTGTTCCAAGAAACAAAACATGGTATCTTCCATCTGCAGCATTGACCCGATCAACAGCTATCTTTGTATATTTGTAGTCTGTGCCTGTCCGGATTATTAAGGGTCTCTTGTGGACAGGGTAAATGGGATTAAACATCAATGGGTGGTTCCTGATGAAGGTGACCACATCATCTGGAAATTCCTTGGTTGTTCGGATGTTGGGTGTGAAGGCTCCTCCAGGGCACTGTGAAAAGTTCATGACAATCAGGGCTTAGCAACTATACCAGTGCAGTTTTAATGTCCAGTTCTTTATCACGTTCCATTTAGTGGGACAAATGTGCATCACTTCACCACAGTCCTTTTGGCACAAAGTGGGAATGCCTGAATCAAGAATATTAAGGATGAGCTATTGTTATCCTTAATATTGATTAACTCTTAATCAGGGATGAGCTATTGTTCAAACATTACCAGAATTTAAGTACACGTCATCCAACAATAATTTAATTTAGATCTTATTAAAGAAATGCCTGGAGACCCACGCCTATAAAATTGTCTTTTCCACGTCAACTCAATATGTTTTTTTGAAGCTCCTATAAAGAACACCTGTGCAGCTGGAAATTAAGCAACCTATTATAGAGCTGACCTAGCAAAAATGCAAAGCAGGTACATATGTACATATTCTGGGATGGAGATATGCATTCCAAAGGCTCATCTGGTTCTCAGTGAACATGACAGGTATGTCTGATGTAGAAAATAATGGATATCTTCACCAGGGGCTATTAATCAACCACTACTATACATAATAACAGCTGGAACATTGCCTTCTAGCTCTTAATTATTGGTCAGAATGGTACATCAGGACTCCTAATGATCACGACACATTTACTGATCAGAGCAAATCGCCACATACATACTTTCACTCAAATATATATGTGACGACCAGTATTTCCCCCACCCCCAAAAAATAAATACATAAAACAGAACTGGAAAAGTTTCTGGAAAAAGTGTCCAATGATGACCTTAATCTAATTTAGCATGTTTGCTTGATTCATTCTTATTCTCCAGTATGCGTAAGTTTTCCTAATAACGGCAAAAGATTTGAACTGAAATATTTTATTAGGGGGAAATTCAATTAACCACACAATAGAGTATAAATGTTATATTGAAATATATTCAAAGCTGTATGTGGAAATCATTTTATTGGAATATTTGCAAAAATGTAAAGATAATAGCATATCCTTCCTTATGAGATTTACTTATATTTAACCAAAATGTTACAGCTGAAACAATGCACTGTTTTTAAGGTGTATTCCCAAAGAGAGCTGATATAGCAACAGATGTATTTTCTTTTGCTGAGATGACCGGAGCACCTTCAGCTGCACTCCTGCTCTGCACTGCTTCTCGGTTCCATTTCAAGTTGAGAAAAGCCCAATTCAGATCAACGGGCTGCACGTGCTCCTTCGCTAAGGGGTGGACGTGGCTCCGTGGGCACCGGCTGTGGCACTTTGTTGCACGCATGCCTTGTTGTGAGATCTCATGGGCAACTGGTTGGCTGCCATGCTGTGAGCAGAATGCTGGGCTAGATGGTCCCTGGGCTGGTCCAAGCATGGCTCTTCTTATATTACGAATTGAAACAAACAGTAATCGCAGTCTTAGTCTCAGTTCTCCTTCAGTTTTTTAAAGCATATTAAAGACTGCTAGCAATAGAGGATGAATGCACCATTTATAACTCTGTTCCAGACCAGGAGCCGACTGCATTGCACACAGGACGGGTTGCCATCCTCTACTTTTCATTAGGGTTTGCCACTTCTTGCCTTAGAAAAATAGGTTATAAAGATGCATATGCTATATTTATCCCATATGCCACGATTGTACAGCAGCCGAGACAACTGTGGGTAAATGCAGACTTATATGGTGTGGAAAGTTCTCCATTGGAATACAGTATTGGAAAATTCTCTGCCCTGCATCACTGGTGACATCACAATCCTGAAGCTACAAATAGCTGGGGTGGCATATGGAATGATGTGTGCAAGGCACCCAAGACAAAGTTGGATGCAGTAGGATTTGCCATGATAAAATACTTCTTTTGAGGTGTCTAATATTGCACACAGCTGCAAAGACCCTGGCACAGCCCTACCTGCCATTTAACCATGCGGGGCGACATGACTATGCATCCTGGAATGGAGGCTGTCTCCAATATCATAGCAAGAGATGGACTATTTTGCTGGATTAGTAGGAAATCTCCAGGGCTGCTTATACTACAAAGGCAACATAATAGATCTCCATGTGTGCTCAAGTCATAGCAAACTCTCCCTCCCTCCCCCTCCCTCTCCCTCTCCCTCTCTCTCTCTGTTTTGGTGATGTAGCAGCTGAGCTTACTGGAATGAGTCTTAAGCAGATTTATGCTTGCACCAGACCCTTTACATAAATACTGCATTTTAACAGTGTCCTGCAGCTTTTGTAAAACGGAAATATTGGCAAGAAATTGCACAGCCACAATGAAGGCTAAGATGTCCATGAAAGGCAATGTCAAAGTCAAATCAGATTAATATAGTTCTATATTTCACTTGACCTAATTTTCTAATTGACAACAGCTGATGTAATCATACACTTGAAAGAAAGACAGACAGACAGACAGCCAGACAGAAAGATCCTGTTATGGATTTTCTTACTCTCTCATGCCATGTCTTACTCTCTCATGTTTCTTACTCTCTCAAATTCTTGCCAGGATTGGTTTTAGCTTGTCAGGTGTTATGGGATTTGAACTATAGTTTGAAAGTCACAACACCTTCTCCACCTGATGCATCGTCCACACCTTCCACAAAACCTTTCATGGAGCACTGCAGCTTCACAGCCCCCCTACATATGTTACACTAACAGCACAGGGACCACTGCAATGCAAATCTTTCCTGAATTACCAGGGGGATGTGAGAAATGTGAGCCAATGTGAGCGAAGCCTGCACTTCAACTTCTCTCCTTGGCAACCTTATGTCCTCGGCAAGGGTCTCCAATGTAGCTTGGGCATCTCCATGTGATCCAGCAGTACTCTGGAATTAACTCTGACCCTTCAGGAGCCAAGAAAATATTTGCTATGCAATTCACTTCCCTGATTCGGTTACCCTCCCCAACCCACTGCTTCACCTTAGCTTTTCTCTAGGAAGAGACACGTGGCTTTAATAACTGGAAGAAAGACATGAGCCACTATACCAAAAAGGCTTACAATTTAAGTTTCCTCCCTACTTGTTCTCACAACCTCTTTCCAGTTCAAAATCAGGAACCTCCCCCTTGCTGCTGGGTTGCACCTCAGAAGTGTACAGAGACTGGGTTCATACAACATGATAATCCAGGGCTAGCTTCTTGTGTTGCCTGAATCTAACAATATGGCTTGTTAAACTGGATTCAGACTGCAAAACTAACTGTCCTGGCTTATAAGCCATCATGGCTTATCAAGCTGTGTGAACCCACAATATCTTTTATACTGGGAGCCATTTTGGGAGGATTTCAGCCCTAAAAGGTTTCCCATTGATGCATGATGCACAAACAGTTGAGCACATACTTTGTTTGCAAATGGTCCTATGTTCAAACAACTCTGGCAAGGCTGGGAAGACCTCTGGTGTTAGCCTTGACCCATGGTGGACTGACTCAGTGTCCTACCCATAGCCAGCGCAAATGGGGGGCCACTGCACTCCCATAGCCTCATCTCCTTCCGTGCCACCCTAAATAAGTCTTATGGAAGAGGAGAATCTCAAAGCTCCCATCAGAAGCTGTGGATTTGCAGCGGTTGCTCCATGTATATGCAGTGTAGCAATACGAAAATGTAACTTGTTTGTAAAGCTATTTCCACACCGGGCAGAGAAAAGTCATGTCTCTATTTGCCAAGGAGCCACAATTAATGCTCCAAAAGAAATAGCCCTGTGCAGGCCACAAAAGAAGCCTCTTCATACTACCTCTGGATAATATCTCTGTGTATGGCCCTACAAAAATTAACCAACTATCCCTTAGAACCCTATATGTCAGAGCTGGGAAAGATTATCTATCCATCCATCCATCCATCCATCCATCCATCCATCCATCCATCCATCCATCCATCTATCTATCTATCTATCTATCTATCTATCTATCTATCTGGGATATTTCCAGCCTGTCCAATCACTTTGGGTCTCTGGACGGCTCACAACAGCTTATCCTCAGGATAATCTTGGACTCATCAGCTCAAACTATTCTGTTCCATGGTGAGGAAACATGGGAAGTGCAGTTCAGCAGTGTCCAAAGGGCTGGAGGTGCCTCGACTCTCCCCTGCAGGCTTTTGACTAACAGAATTTCTCCTTTACTTGAGACATGATGTAAGGCCTCTAATGCACTCTCTGACATGCTATAGCTCCTGATGATGATTTGTATAAAGTCCAGATGACAAACAAGATTTAACAGACGGCCTCCTGCCCAGCATGAGTCGGTACATTACGTCATTAAGGTTTTCTATAACTCGTAGTTGATTGCGGCAGAAAAATCTGCAATGACTGGTATTTTTTGAAGGGATGCCAAGGCCTGCAGGGCCTGGCTCTTGCCAAGTGAATCGGTTACTGAACTAACCTTCTTCAATTTCACTTTAACTGTTGCTCAGATGGCTGCCTTTAGAAGAAGGTAAGAACTGGATTCCTGAGTCAGATCAAGGTCTGTGTGCTCTACCACTCTTTATCCAACGAAAGGGCGGATGCCTCCTAGAAGTGCACAAAGACTCTGTCATCCTAGCACCCCACAGCATCAGCCTGTCACATCAGCCTGGAGCCACTTGCAGATGTTTTGGGGAAAATGCAGCGAATCCTGTTGTCTTCCTGATCCTGGATCCTCAACTAACATCTTGATTCCCATCACCCCCATCTCATGGTCATGAGGACTGGGCATTATGGATGCTGTAGCCCAACAGCAGTTGGAAACCTGAGGCTGGGAACCAAATGGACAATTTAGGGTCCATCTTTATGTTTCAAGTCCCTTTCTGGGACTGACACCAGAGAAGAGACGACAGATTAACTTAATACTAATATTAATTCACTCTTTAATTTATTAGATTTTCCTCATGCACTGTGGCCAGCACCAAGGCTCGATCCCCATACATTTGAGATCTGCATCGGATTGTTCTGCAAATGTAGGAACTGAGCAGCAAAGAGAAAAGCTTATCACTATGATTTCTTTCTTGCCCTCCTCCGGGAAGTGTAATAGCTGGGATGGCACTTTGTATAGCTCCTC